AGTGCAACCTCGGTCAACCTGGGTATTCTGACAGCGGATCTCTACAGCCTGTTCTTTGGGCTTTTTCTCTTTTATTATAATGTAAGTACCTGAATTCTTTGACTAAAATTTCAGTTACTTTTTAATTCCAGAGTTGCAAATAAAGCAGAATGCTCTTAAAAGCCCCTGAACAGTTGTTTGCACTTGTACACTTCTACAGCCCGTGTCATTCATCATTGGCAGATGTCAGTCATACCTATTTTATTACATAGCATTGCACCATTAGGCAGATACTGATTTTCAAACCACCTCACACTTAATAGAATACATTAGAGTTAATAAATAGTAAATAATTTCCTGGTGTGTTCAAATGGTAGAGTTCTTGCTGTAAGCCCTATGTGGAAGTGTACGTTAGGTTTGATTCATCTCTCCAAGTGTCCCAAGACAAGATTTGGATCTCCCTGTCCTGAAAGGCATTTGGTGACTGAGAGAGGAGCAGTTTGGCTTGATTTCCAGAAATTAGTATTTTCTTTTAGAAATGTAATCTGTTCATTACCAGTATCTTGGAATAAGAGTCAAGCTCTCTTAGTGCTACTGCCAAGGAGAGACTAAAGGAACTGTCAAAAAAACCCAGCTTATAAATGTGTTACCTCTGTACACTCTCCAGAAGGCAGTTACTTTTATTGTGCTCTAAAATAATTTAGGTAGTGTCTATTCAAGCTAAATGATAGTGCTAAAGAGATTTCATTCCACCTTGTAGTTTCCATCCATAATTGTTTGTGGGAACCTAGCTTGTTACAGCAATTGGAATAATTGAGTCAGTTGCTCAGTGACTGGAAGGGCTTAGTGAGAAGCTTGTGAAATTTGCTTAAGAGCTTAATTTGTGTTATTCCATGTGGTTGCTTTCTGTTCATCATTGTGGGGAGCCAGAAGCTCTTAGGTCAGATTTGTTTCTGAAAATGAAGGCCAATTTATTTTACAATGCAGAGGACTGGTAATGGTAGGGTCTGACATCAGCTAGGTTTTTGTTTTCAAGAATCTTCTAGCTCAGCTTTCCTCCCTTTCCTGGGTTCCAGTGTTTGCTCCAAGCTACAAAGGTATTAATTAAAAAATGTATATAGAAAGCAAACCATACTTACATTCTAACAACTAAAAAAATACTAACTCCCTTCCAAACATGTATTTTGGCATCAAGAAGTGATTATAAATTTGTGTTCAGAGTAGTAAAGAAGAGGAAGTAAGCTAGAGCCTTGGAAGGGGTATAATACTGTTCTTCATGATTTTTAGCTTATTTTAGAGAGAGGTTTTTCTGGGAGCAGATCATTTCATCATTACTATCTGCAGGGTATTCTGGTACAACAAGGAAAAATGAATTAGAGGAAGCTTTGGGGTGGTACTATGAGAGAATTTCGGATCTTTTGTTAAAACATTAACTTCCCTTGAAGCAATAATAATGCCACATGGTTAGTAATCTGAGGAGGCCCTTAATGACATAGTTTAGTGGTGGACTTGGCAGTCCTGGGGTAATGGTTGGACTTGATGGGTCTTTTCCAATCTAGTTGATTCTCTGATCTGAGATAGCTTAGGAACAAAGAACTGAGAGTGCCTGATTTTGACACAGCTTTTAACATAACTTTTAGCAGTAGGAAAACCTCACTGCCAAGTTAACCATATAGTTTCTTTATCAGTGGGACAAAGAAACCAGGCAGAACATTTCCTGGATTAAAAAACACTCTTGACACAGGAGTCTACAAACAAAAGTGCAAGGAATTGCTGTGTTCCTTTACCAGATGGTGTTTCATAGCAAGCCAGGCTTGGATGGGCTACAGAGTAGAGAAAGACCTGAAGAGCTCTGGAGAGCTCTGAATTGCTGTGGTCTGAGCCTGCTCTGAAGCAGAAGGACAAACATGCAGCAGCTATGGCAAAGACTGGGCCCAGAAATGAATGAGGTTTTGACTTGTGCACAGTGTTTTGCTGACACAACTTTTTAGCCCCAACCATGTCTGCTGAAGGTGGAATGTGAATTTGGCATACCTGTTTTGAAGAACTCTGGTTTTAATCTTTTACTCCATAATGGAACTTTGCTGTGCTTTTTCCTAATGAGCTCATTGTATAGATACCTGTAATTCTGCAAGAGATCCTAAAAAAGTTTTCCAAATGCTTCTCTTGTATGAATTGCTATGGAAGGGAGTGTACTGCAAATACAGACACTAGGTGGAGTTACAGGCCTCCAGTAACACTTAAAGTGGTCATTAGGCTTGATAGTGAGTATGTGGATATAAATTGCACAGGTACAACTAGAATCAGGGTCTGAAGCAATGAACTTGCTGCAATATCTGAAAACAAAACAAAACCAACCCCAAACCAAACAAAAAACCCTGCAAACCGTCCCAACCTCTCCCCCCCCCCCCCCCAACAAACCCAGCACCAGCACGATGGTTCAGGTTCACATGTATCAATAGCTGCAAACAGGCAGGCCTGGAATCACAGCTGTGCTGCAAGAGCTTTGACACCCTGGCTTGGTGACTGTTCATCCGCTCATTGAAGAATTAATTCTGAGCAGGATCAGAGACACCTACTGCCTGTGTGCACTGTGAGAGCGGGTCTGACAGTTACTGTCCAGTCTTGCCTGCCGGCCACATGTCCTTGGCTACAAACACATGTTCAGTCATGGCCTCAGGTTGCACTCTAGAGAAGTTGTCTTGCCTTGATGCAGACCCAAGCTCTGCCCATTTGATGGGAATGGGTCAGTTAGGCGTAGGACAATGCACACTGCTGCTGCCTCCATCAGGACATCTTCAGAGCTTGGTGCTTTCTCCTGTGCAGAGTCCAAGCTCCTCCAGGTAAACAGCCAGCAAGGTAAGGAGAGAGGGCACTTACCATAAGGCCACTGTGTTTCAGTCTGCTTTTCCTTTTTCATGGTGCTGTCCAAGGGTTTTTGAGCCAAGTGACTGCCAGCTAGGAATTGCGATGCCTTAACTGTCTATGCCTCAGTTTTTTGGATCAGAATCCACTGTCCAGGTCCTGCCATTCATTTCGTCCAGCTCTGCTGCTTGATAAATGAAAACATACTTTTCAGGCATGCTGAAGGAAGCTAAGGAGGTTAGGGAATATTGATAGTGGGATGTACGATGTGTTATGTCCTTCATCCTACTGTTAATCAGCATGATTTGGCAAAGGCAATATGGAAGATTTTAACAAACGTGCTGAAAAAGCGTTCCTGGCTGTGTATAACTTGAACACTTTGTATTACCGAATCTGGTGTTATGAAATAAGCATTTATTTTTCGTTCAAGGTGAATGAATCTTGGCAATTGTTGGGCTTCTAACAGACAAGTGAATGACAGTGAATGAAATGCCTCAGCAGTTCGTATTCTTACCTCACAAGACTCTTAAAAGGGCACAAGTGCCAAGCTTGTAAAATGAGCCCCAGTCTCCCTCTCTTCAGGAACTTGCTGGGTGTAGAAGGCAAACTGGTTTTAGCCCAGTAATATTTATCTAGCCCTGCAGATGGTTGAGAGCTGTGCAGAGAATGACCTGCTCTGGTGACTTGCAACGGGATGGAGATAATCATCTCTTGTCAGGACCTGAAATACTTGGCTGTGCTGAAGCATTTTGTTTGGGGGTACAGTGTTTCATACTCACACATGTAAACGACTATCCTACAGTATCCTACTATATAGGCCTAAGGAAATTCGCTGTCCAGCAGCGTTGAGGATGAGATGCAGAGAAAAGCAGCCAGCAGCTTTTGACCATCAGTGAGTGGAGGTGTTGAATTTTGTGTTTTGGACATGAATATAGATCGTGCTGATAATCCTCATTAAAATGGTTTTAAAAAGAAAGGTAGCTTTCACATTCTTAAAACAAGGCAGCACTGACATGTTTTTACATCAGACAAGATTTAATGCATCTTTTTCTTTCCCCTGCTAGTTTTCAGGTCTTTATATCCTGTCCTTCATTATCATCATGATGGGCTTCATTTTGTATTGCTCCACTCCAACTCAGACAGCAGAACCTGCTGCCTTGCCACAGCCCAGCAGCACTGGCTTGGACAACGCTGCGCTGAAGCTTGATGAGAATGACAGTGAAACGCCAGCAGTAACCGTACAGTTCACAAGTGGAGAAGCTGTGGTGGTCAGCACTGGGTAAAGAAGTGTCAGCATTCCAAAAAAGACCCTTTTTCTTTTTACTGCCAAATTTCCCTCAAATTTTAATCTGGAGAATTGTTCTACTGCCAAGGCATACGCCATACTGCACTGGTTTTAATGCACTGAACAGACTTTTAAGGCCAGATCCTCCATCAATGAAACTGTATTAATTTACCCTTGCAGCAAATCTGGCCCTTAGAAGAAGTCAGAATAGTGTTTATGTGGAGCCTCTGCAAAGTGAGTGACTCTTATTTTTAAATGCTTAATTAACTTAACAGCAAATGCTTAGGGGAAAAAATAAGCCAAAGCAAGCTCCCAGGTCACTAAATGGAGCAAATATATTTTATATTGTATTAGGGACCTAAATCTGCGCTACCTAAGGGCTTCATGATTCTCACCCCTCAGTGCTGGGTACCCTCAAATAGCATCTTGCAAAAGCCGCTCAGCTTCTCACAGGATTTAGTTCTGCAAGCTGTATTACATATCTACACCTCCCACGTGCTGGACTTCATTCCTCTGCTGAAGGACTTGCTTCTTACATTCCACCCAGATGTTCATCTCTTCATGTTCCTGCACTCCCTGTTGCAGCTGGGACTGCTACAAGTATTTTATTTTGAATTTTGATAGTAAGGGAAGTTTGGATGTGTTTTTATAATCCCTTCTTTTTCTCTCTCAGTGGCCTGTTGTTTGGTGCATTCCCACTAGGTGGACGAGACCAAATCAGGCCCTTGCTCTGTTCAGTAAGACCTGAATGTTGTTTTTTTCTGGATGAGACAGCAAAAGGGTTTGAACTGAAGTTCACTTCCTGGTGCATTTCTCCTTGAAATGGGACACATTTCTACAGAAAGATTCAAATAAAATTGTCATTTCTTAAAAAAGCATATTAGCCAATCTTCATTGCAGCAATAGTGACATCATCTCCGAAAGGTTAAATACTTCCAGTAAATTCATTGGCAGCTTTCTTCTCCCTCTTCATATTTACAGTAAATGATTAAAAAATATGAGGCTGCGGTTTTAACATCAGTAAAATGGGATTTTATTTTAGTTTTTGTACAAGCCTTCATAGCTCAGGTGTATGAAGTAACACAAGAATAAAGTTTTCAGCAGTTGAAGAGCTGCCTGTTGTTTTATTCATTTTTTAAGCTATAATTTGTTGCTCAAAATGATACTGATTGATGTTACTGACCAAATGATTATTTTAAAGCCTGAGCTTTGCCATAAGAAGTAAATGTGACCTTTTCTGAATATTAGTGATCAAAGGACAAAGACTGTTTTTGTGTACTGGTGGAGTTTGTGCAAGCAAAATAATTCAGCAAAACTCAGACTTTATTTAGCGATAGCAAGTAGGAAAAATGTTCAGCAGCTCCTACAGGAATGAACATTGCCTTTTCACTGAGTAGTTCATGCATGGAAGGCTGAAGGGGTGCTGATATTTCATGAAGAGCATTTGGGCCCAGTTGTCTCTTGCTTTATCACTGGAGTAAGATTCAGGTCATGAACAAAGACACCTAGTCTGGTGCATCTGCCATCTAAAGCTGAAAAAGCAGCTGGAGGCCAGGTAGGGTAAGGAAGTCTAATGGCAGTAGATACCTAAGAAAGACCATCTGGATGTAGTAGTTCTCCATACCAAATTTTAGTTACCTATAACCTGGAGCTAAGTCCTATCCACTCTTAACCTGTGTGATCAGTTAACTATGTGCAGTAACAAAGCAAACGGCAAGCAAACCTACAGGACTATAGGTGAATGCTCCAGAACTCAGCACTTAATGGCACACAGTGGGATACAGCTCCTCAGTGTGGCTAGTTATGGTCCTGTCTTAAATTGCCCCTCTGGGGGGCATGATTCAGTTGCCTCAGTGTGGTATCTCTTGGTGCCGGCAGATAGGACCCAGGGTCTAGAGAGACCTGTGACCTAAAACAGATTATGGACGACAGATGAGATGCCCTGGGATCTCTTAAATGGCACTGCAGCCTATGGTTGAGACGCTCAGTGCTTCTTTGATGGCTGCACAGGGTCTTGTGATTAGTTTAGATGCTTAGCATTTCCATAGCTAAAATTGGACGAGATGAATCCCAGGTGAAGTTCATGGGCCAACCTGCAGTATGTTCAGTCTGTGGTCGCTGGGTGGCATCTGAACATCTCGGGTGTTTGCTAACACAGTTCTGTGGGTCCAGTGCTTGTGAAAGCAGACTGTTGTGCCTGTGCATCCCATATGCCATCTGATACGGGAATCACTCTCATTGTGTGCACCTCAGGAAAAATAGCAGGGCCCTTTGAACAGATGATGACTGAATTGTTGTGCAACAAAGAGAAAGCACGAGGCAGCAGCTGGAGTTAACAATAGAAGCATGATGGAAAGTGTGGTCAAAGGCTGGTGCCATGGGTGAAAGTGTTGCCTTTGCAAACGGAAAAAGTAAAGATAAGTTAGCTCCTAAGTTCACAGCATCCCTTTGCATAGTTTCCAGCCAGAGAAAAGCAGGGGGAGGTTTTTCCTTTGTGCCAGAGCAAGGAATAAAGAGACTTGGCCCACCAACTAGCTAATGTAATAGCAGCTCCATCTGAGGATGATGCTTGGCTGGTGTCCTGTAGTGCTGGCATGAACAGGAGGGGACATTGCACCTTACTCAAGGACAATCCTGGAGGTTTTCCTTTAGTATAAAGTAACACAAGCTCTTGCAGATTGTTTGAGGTGGACCAAGTAGGGTGAGACATCTGCAGTGGTGTGGACCTGGAGCAATCTGTACTTGGACAAGGGAAGAGGTGATAGCCTGAAAGGCATTTAGAAGAGGCAGAACAAATGCTGAAGACGGGGACCTGAGTCAGTGAACAACTGAAAGAAATGGCTAAAAAAGGAAGAAATTCCATGGCTTCTACACACAAGTTGAGGCTGTTCTGAGGAGAAACCGCTGCAGTGAGCTCCAGGCTCTGGGCAGAAGCCTGGCCTTGGAAAGTCCTAAGCACGGGGTGCTGGTGCCCTGAACCTGGTCTGACTGGGATGGGGGCTGATATACCACCCCTGCTTGCTGTCTGTCCTGTGAATCGGGAGGAAGTAGATGCAGATTCATTAAGGAAAATGCATAGCTTCAGAGCACAAGTGACACAATGCGTGTATTGCTCCTGGGGAAACAAATGTTCGGTTAACGAATCGCATATGCCAGATCATCTGGTACCTCCGCAGCAAGGTGCATGGGTGAGTTTAACATACATCTTTATAACACTGGAATAAGCTGGAGAAAAAAATAATCCAGCTGTCACTTGAATTAAGCCCAAGTATCCAAATAAAAATGTGTGACACCTCCCTCCAAGGTTTGGCTACAATATGTCAAAACTATCTGGCATCGGAATGTCATGATGTGTTGGAAAAAGCAAAAATCAGGGCGGCAGTAATTGAATGGTGACATTATCTGTGCTAGAGCTTGAGGGAGAGGATGAGCTTTTGGACATCAGCTATTTTAAGATGTTTTTGACCTTTCCTAAGTTGCACATACTCAGTTCTATATGATGCGATGTCTGGGACAAAGCATATCAGTTCTTGTCAGCACCATTCATTCACACTGTATGTGTTGTGGGATATTTCATTACATTATACACATCTGTCTTGTAAATATCTATTTCAATCGATTGAGGAAGTTTGACAGGGACAAGCTGCACAAACTACATGATCAATCATGAGCAATTTTGAGCAAACAGACAGATACCTAAAAATGCAAAGTGCAGGATCCTGGGGCTGTGTTGGTGTTTCACCAAAATACAGCCTACTGGCAATTTAAGTGTTAGACTTGAGAATCTGATGAGCTGTGATGTTACAGCATTTAGTTTTTAACTTGAGGCTACACCTAAACCTACACTTGTCAGACAAACAGCATCTGAGGAGTCTTGCCCTCCTGAGCTCTCTTTTTGCAGTCCTTGGATGGAGGAACTCAGCTCTTCCTTGGATTTGCCAGTATTTATTTATTCAGATTTCTTGTTCTGAGTGCCTAGTTTTAAGTGGAACCAAGGCAAGTCTAGAAATCCCAACCAAGCACAGTGCCCCATTCTTATGGGTAACGGGCAGTAAGGCATTATCCAAGCTGGAAGTTTTACAACTTATGTGAGGGATGAAAGAGGCACAGAGAGATTTGCTTAGCAGCTATGGGAAGCCCATGGCTGGTTCGACAAATTTGTGTGTAGTGGTATCCAAAGTGTTCATCCTTCCCTCCTCTCAATTTGATTTTTTCTCTTGTACATGAACATTCAAGACTGAAAGTTACAGATTTTATAGAAAAAAGCCAGAAGGAAAAATATGATTTCTTGTACAACACAGGTCAATGCACTGCCTGCTGTTGGTCAGAATCAAATGTGTAGGTTTTAGCTAAGTTGCGCCATCACTTCTCAATCTTGATATGAAGTTCCCAGAGTAATATCAAATTCATCTCTTCTGAAAACAGGAGAATTGATTTTTTTCAGGAGCTGGCTCTTAAATGTATAAAAAGCAAAGAGTCGAAGTTAGACTTTAGAGCCTTCTGAGAGTATGCAGCCTCCAAGAGCGGGTTCCCATGCCCTTCAAGACTGATGTATTTGTGTTAAGCTACCAGCTGGGAACAGTCTGTGATATTTTCATATTAAATGCATGCCCTGGGGTCAGTATCACCAAACTAAAGCCCATGACATCACCCTTTTCAAAATAAACTTTATTTGAGCAGCTCATCTCCAGTTGGTCTCCCTAGCTGTCAGTGCTGTGAGCAGAGCTTGTGCAGCAATGCAGAAGGATCAGCAGGGCTACAGGTGAAAGGTGTGTTTTGTTCTCATAAATCAGTGTCAGTGTCCAGAGTACTCCAGAAGAACAGACAGTGTATACTGAAAGTACATTACAGCCAACTTCCAAAGAAGGCATGTAAAGAGGATGACTAAAAAAGAATAGAGACATATTATTATTGTACAAAATGAAATTTCCATGTTTATTTAAGAAAGCTAAGATGTTTTTACAGAAATACCAACGTTTATTTTGTACTGATGGCTGGAAACAGTGCAACATCTCCAGCAGTACAAGTCACTGAAGGTTATGTAAACAGCAGCTAATGACAGCGGTTTCAATTCTTTAGGAATATTATGGGTGCTACAACAATCAAGGGTGATGTTGCTGCTCTTCAGCACCATCTATTGACACCGTATCTAATGATTTTAATTAGAAACCACTCTGACAGGCAAAAGTGCACCTTCCATGACACACCAATGTAACTCAGTAAATGCACAACCAAGGTGGTGGTTGGAAATAAGGTAAAAATGACAGGAAGAGGACTGCACAAGAGTGTGGCTGCTTGCCCATAGTCCAGAAAAGATTGCTTTTGCTTTAACTAGTTATTTAATAAACCAGGTACTTCATCCATACACAGATCTTTGTAACAAAGGGGTATGTGTTTAGCCTCAAACTGTTGAGCCAATAAAACACCCCACCTTGAATAAAATAACCAAAATCATGGCAAAATTTGAACTGACTGAAAAACTTGCTCAGGGTAGAAAGATGTGACCAACCTCAAACAAGCCACCATCTCATGCTCTGATGATAATATGTGTGTGTGCATAGTGTTTGTGCCCATGAGAAATCAGTGAATGCTTGAAAACCTGTGCGGGTACAGGACACAACTGGCGTCCTTGCTTTGCTGCAATGTTTGCAGAGGAGCTACTTCCAGTCACTGCAAGGAGACTCTGATGGTCCTTGAAGTTCAAAAATGTTTGTAGTTTGTCTCCTCTGCCATTAATGTAAGTGCCTGCTGGACTTCCCTGAAGAAATGACTTTCATTAAATAAAATTGCATGTGTTAAAAAAAGAAATCCTGCTGGGTAACCCTATCTCCTGTAACATCTGTAAATTAATTTGTTTCTTGAGAGCAAGAATGATTTATAACTCACAACAGAGCTGAAGTAGCATGACTAAATTAAGAGGAGCATTCAGGCAGCTGGAATGCAATTACAGCATAAACGCACACGCCGTGATAATGTGATAGTAAGGTTATGAATTTAGTGAAACAGGAATCAGTGTGCACAAAGATATGGTTCCTTCCTTCCTACAGTGTTTTTCTAGTCTTTCTAATATGAGAAATGTCTGCATTAGCTAGATATAATCTTAGGACTAGCTATGGATTTCATGCATGCTGATGGGAGATGCTATCTTATCTCTGGGATGCACCAGCTCCTGGACGGCAATGCATACTGTGCTCTGTCAGAGAGATTTTGCTGTTATTCTGGCTGTTTTTCTTAGTCTAAGGGAGGTGTTTGGCAGGAAGCATGCATTAGTTCTGTCTGTACTGGTCAATAAAGTGGCTGTTTTCTGGCCCCTAAGCCAAGGCTGCAGGTTGAACCCCAGCTGAGGTCTCGCTTTTGCAAAGAGGCAGGCATTCCCAGCTTCATTGCAACACATGTAGAGGGCTCTGAGAAACACAAGAACACCACCAAGTTCAATCTATACCCATTGTGCTCCTGTGACAAAGCAAGCCAACAGGATGATGGGTTACATCAACAAGGGCATCACCAACACAGATAAAGATGTCATCATACCACTCTACTTGGCTTTTGTCTGGCCACATCTGGAATGCTGTGTTCAGTTTTGGTCCCTGCTATACAAAAAAAGATATGGACAGGCTGGAGTGAGTCCAGAGAAGGGCTACCAAGATGACTGAAAGACTGGGAAGCTGTATGGGGAAAGGCTGAGAAATGAGTTTGTTCAGCCTGGAGAAAAGAAGGCTCAGAAGAGACCTTATCACCATGTTCCAGTATGTAAAGGATGACTTACAAAGAAGATGGAGACTTCCTCTTTACCAGGAGTCACGTGGAAAAGACAAAGGGTGATGGGTACAAGTTATTCCTGGAGAGATTCCAGTTGGACACAAGAGGAAAATTTTTCACAATGAGAACAATCAGCCACTGGAATAAACTCCCCAGGGAAGTGGTGGATTCCCCAGCATGCAGGTGGTGTGACACAGCTCACAGCCCTACGTCTACTACACCTGGGCCTCATTGATCTGCCTTCCAGGATGCACTGCTGGTCTGTGCTGGTGTTCCTTGAATTTGCCTGGGGAAGTCCAGGCAGCCAATGTTTTGCCAGCCTTTATTGTATTGTCAATACTTCATCCAGTGATAGCTATGGCAGAAGTTAGCTGTGTGATGTTAGATCTGCCAGGCAGAAGCTAGCTGTGCTCAGGTGATGTCAGTGGGGGAGGACCCAGCAATTCTACCATGTCCTCAGGTCTAGATGTGTAACGTTATCCTGCTGTGACAACAGTTTCAGGAGATCCAGCAGGGATAAATGTACCAGGCCCCCTCACTCATGGTCTAGGCTTCTTTTATAACATCCTTTGCTCCCCTCTGCTTCTGCTGTGTGCGTTCTGCAACGAATGGTTTGGGTGCCAGGAATCTGTATGTACTTCATCTAGGAGCAACCAGTGACAAGCGTTAGTGCAAACTTCATTAATGCTGGTGTGATGACAGTCTCCTAAATGTCAAGCCCATGAGCATGCCTGGGCACTGCTTTCTTTCAGTGAGGTCTATTTTTGTTAGAGGGCAGCCCATGAATGTGCAGAGCACACACTCTTCATCCCTTAATGCTGCTCTGCAAAGTCAGCATTGGCCACCACGATGGGCCGCAGTGCTTGGGATGAGAGAGGAACAAGTCACCCAGAGGAGTGAGGCAATTCAGATACTCCAATGAACTAACACAACTGTTGCTAATAAGACATAAAACGTTGCATCAAACACCCACCTGGGTTTTCTGCAGGTGTTTTCAAAACCCCTTGTAATTTCAAGGTGTCTGTTGTCTCTCAGCTACAGCTCCTCCACACATGTTTTGATTGCTTTTGAATGACTGCTGGGAAAAAAAGATACTGCATTGAGGGAAGGGGATGATTTATCCACATATGAAAGGCATTTCAGAAGACAAATGTTCCAACCCAAGCTGTTAACCTGAAGACTCCAACGTGAGGATTATGGTCTGCTGAGAGCTAGCAACTTTTATTTTTGTAGAAAAAAGGGCCTTTCATCTCAGTATTGAATAAGGAGAATTGAAGAACTGTTACCCTTTATTTCTGTGAAAAAGTGCAGCAGCCTTTTAGTAGCATTATCAGGCTGCCGGCAGAACTCAAAGTCAGGTTTGTGGCAAACTGAATTCAGATTGTTTAAACAAGACCTGCATTTTGCTTTTTAATTTGCTGGGATGGAGTTTTCCAGAGGAACCATCTCAATTTGCCCTAGTTCATTGAACTGATACTCAGTTAGCAGTGATGGGTCAGAGAAATTTCATTAAAATGATACAATATTCAGTTTTGATTATAATTTTGGGGATGATGCCTCTGGAGTTACTTGTTACTGGATCAGCCTTTAGCCTCAATGAAGAGCTCATCTGAGGATTGTACCCCCATCCTCTAGACAAAGCTGATGGATTTATGTTCGTGAGGTACTGGCCATGTACCAAACCTAAGACTGATTGTGGCCTTAAAGGATACATGCTGACCCTTAGAAAAGGGAAGAGAGAGCAGATGACAGCTTCCAATCTAATTTTTCCCAGTAAGGGATCACCTTATGGATGCTTTTGCTGGATGAATTTTAGTGGTATTACTGGTTTGATTAACTAATGCTGGCTAAAATTAACTCGTATGCATTGGTCTCCCATTTCTGTGGTCAACCATAGCAAGGTTAGTCCTGCCTGACTATGGATGTGTCCCTCCGTGGTGGCTGCTGGCAGCATGGTCTGTCAGGTGGGATGCAGTCCTGAGCAGCCCTGTGGAACCCAGGAATGAGGATCGTGTCTTTGATGCCCACCCAGCTTCACCCTGTGCTGCTGAAGGCCACACGGACAGAGGTTGTTTGCAAGGGTGCCATGGTGTGATAGGGCGATTCAGAGTCACCTGAGCAAAAGCTACATCAGACAGGTGCTGTGCCCTGCATAGACAGACCTGAGGCTCGCTGACATGGGCACGGTGCTGTCAGACTTGTGACCATCCTATTGCTGAGATGTAATCCTGCCTGCTTCAGGGATGCAAAGATGATTAAAACACCTCTTCACAATTAAGCATACACACTCCTGGTGCTTGCAGTGGAAGCCCTGCCACTGGCAAAGCATTGCAACTGCGTTTCCATAAGGTCATGCAGTTCCAGCTCTGCCCAGCCCATGGCAGCCTTCGATCCAGCAGAGCATCAAGATGCAGCAGAGTTAGGTCCTTCTGGGACTTCTTCCCATCCAATTAAGTTTCTGTGTGCTGCGATCTCTGTCTCAGTAGTAAGCTGATCCACTGGCAGGGTATTCAGTCAGAAATTAATTAGTGGGAGCAAAACGTTATGAATACATGCAGCGTTCAGATTTTATTCCAATAACCTAGTTAATACTTTCGCTTCTTCAAGCACAGAAAAGTAGCATGAATTCCAGAGCTTTGTTCAGGCGGTGACATTTTGGTGCTAAGATGCTAAGATAAGAATCTAGACCAATAGTGTTACACAAAAGCAAATTGAAAGTTGCTTTGGTAGTTTTGAAAGTGCCCTTTCTGGAAGATGGACCAGGTACTCAGAAATAAGGTCTGTGCCCCAGCATGACACCCCTGAAGGTTGGTGCTCTATAAGATGGGCATGTCCTTATTTATAGAGGTAAATGGATTGAGCTACGAAGCACTTAAAACTTCGATTATTCTGCATAATCTCTGTTGTGAGTGGAGGCTCTTGGGAATTTAAGTGATGCAGGCAGGACCGTGATTCAGAGCAGGCTGAAGGAGAACACCCCCTCTGATGCCACAGCTTCTTGCTCTGCTATTCCTGCCCACCCAAGGCAAAACATTCCCAGAAAACCATGTTTCTGCTCCAGGGTCTAGCAAAATTCAGTTTTTGGTTTTTTTTTATTCACATTCCCCAAACTGTCCATACAGATCTTTGCTATCTGCCAGCTACATTCAATATTCTCTTTTTACGTTGAAATGGCCTAATTGACTCAAGGTCATGTTGCTGTGACAGGTCTGCAGGCAAACCTTGCTCTGGGTGTCTGATGAAGCTGCAGGACTCACGGAAGCACTTCCTTCTTGTTTTGAAATGGAGAGCGCACATTCCTGGGAGGGAATAATGAGTTGGAGCGTTTACATAGGTACTTATGTGAAGTCATTTAAAATAAACACCAGAGCAGGCGAGCTCCAGCATACCAATGCCCTGCAGTCTGTGCTCATCACATAATAACACAAACAATAGCTTCCTGCATTCAGTACAACTGATTAGC